CCCCCCCCCCCCTCTCCCAACTGTAAACTGGAAAATTAGACATTTTATTAACAAAGATTTCAGATATCATATCATTAAATACAATAATTTTTAATATCTTGTTGATAAAGAAGAGCTACTTCATTTTAGTTTTCTACATGTAAAATTCCAAATTTTTCAATAAAACTTTTCTAAATATATTTTAAAAGTTAGGGATAAAGTAAACAGATTTCAGTGTCATGAATTCCTAAAATGGGGGAAAATTGTCGATTAACTCGGGGATTGGTTTTAATTTTTCCTATGCGCGGACGACTGTGAATTTTTACAACTTTGTGGGGAATATGTGTATTAAAGGCTTTATTATTAAATTCCTCCGGAAAATAAAAAAAAAACTTTTATTTCAGGAGAGAAACCTTTTTCCTGTGACTGTTGTGAACAAAAGTTTTCTTCAAGTTCTGGTTTAAACGATCACAGGAGAAGATTACATTCAAGCTTTAGGTGATATTTTAGAAGATGGCCGATTATCTCATTTCCTACCATTGGCGGCATGCGTGGGACCGGGTTACATTATTTTTGTTAAAAAAATGAAAATATTTGTTTACAAAAAATTTAGTAAATTTAAATATATGATTTTAGACAAAAAGAGCCAAATGGTTTTTGAAGAGTAGCAGTATATTTTTATGAAAATATATTACCCTGAAATCTCTCTTGGAAAACCTACCAAACCTTAAGCAGAAACAAATCTAATATATTCAAAGAGAAAAAAGGAATTTTATACAATTTTCACAAGACATGCCTTACATTATTCTTATTCTCCTTCAACATCTTTTTAAATAGTCGTCAGTAGTCGCGCGCGTAAATTAACCATTCATGGTTATAGCGATCTACTAAGTTATATATACGGAGAATATATATATCATGCCTCAAGTATTGAGACCGTTCCTACCGCACAAAAGATTTCCTTAAAGCGCAATTGTTTTTAGCTTCAGTTTAAAATGTTAAAATTTGCTCTAACTTGATTGCATTTTGTTTTATATCCGTGTATTTTATTTTAGTTTGGTATTTTGAAACAAATTCGAGTGGTTGAAAAAGCAAAACTTAGCAATTTTAATAAAATTATACATTAGAAAACTTGAATCAGATTTAATCTTGTATCTCACTCAAATATGTCTGACATGAGAAAAGAAATTTGATCTTTTTATTTTTTTCGATATACAGTGGAGGGAAAGATTATAGATATGACAAGAATGTTAAAATATGTAAGTAAGTTAATACTTATTTTACTAAATTCAAGGGGGTGGGGAGAGGTATTCTGAAAATACATACACCTGAAATTTCATTCATTCATTCGTGGAAAAGATCAAACTTGAAAGAACAGCTCTTTGTATCTAAAATAACTTTCTTAACGTGAAACTTGAATCAGTTTTAAAGGTGCATTTGCTTAGAAACACACAAATAAAACATGAATTCAGTAAACAAGAGTTCCCTTCATGTATGTTTTCAGTTTGGGGTAACTTAGGACTAAGAGATTTTGTTGATAATTGTTTTATCTTTGGTGGAAACTTTTGTATTGTATATATTGAGATCAAGGCTTGATCTCGAGCTGTTTGTTTTCTGCTTAATCCACTCCTTTTGGATATCTCTGCTGGATTGCACCAATGAGAGTTCGCTTGTTGATTTCGCGGGCAAAATTTCAAAATTTCTCGGCTTCTAATTGGCGGTTCGGGATTTCGTATACGCCACTTTATCGGTGGAATCTTGCACAATTTCCAGGAAACAAACGAAAGATTAAATTAATCGTGAGATAAATAAAAAGAGAGATCAAGCATTTATCTAGGGATATCCACCACTCAGCTTAGATTAATTTAATTTTTATTCGTTTCCCAGTGAAGTGTAGAAAACGAACAACTAATTAGAAGGCAAGGAATTTTGTGTTAAACCAATGAAAGAACAGAGCTATAGGAACTCTTGTATTGCGGATATCGAGATTAATGCTTGAATCGGATCTTTTGTTAATCTGCAGATTAATTAAATCTTTATTGATATCCTGCATGGTAGTTAATCGACTTAATCTAGTAGGAAAATCTGAATTATAAAAGATTAAGCATATCGATCCTCAAATTAAAATGCCCACTGTGGAGTGTTGATACTCTTGATCCCGTTCCCTTCATCTCAATATCCACTGGGGACACTTCTTCTGCTTAATCCACTCTTTTGGAGATTGCTGGGTTCCGACAATTAGAGTTCTCATTGATTGTAAGCAAAATTTTCCAGCTTCTGATTGGTTGTTCGGCTTATGCAAACGACACTTTCCTTGATATAAAAATAAAGATTATATTAATGTGCTGATTAACAAAAAGAGGAGATCATTGATCTCGATATCCACTATTCTAAAGTTTTCAGTTCAGCTCAGAGAAAACAGGGATATTCAAAATCAAGAGATAAAGCAGATTCTCCGTAAAATATATGGCCGGCAGCTCCGGCCTATCATGGCTCATTATAACTGTTTATTTGTAAGACTCATATCTTTTACTTTCTTAAAATATTCTCAAAGGTTTTGTGTGTCTCATACTTCATATGGAGCAAATAGATTGTCAAGTACTTGACAATGTATTTGATATGGAATAAATATTCTGAAAAAAAAACAAAAATATTTATAAAAAAAAACTTTTTCAGTTTTCCTTTGAAACACCCGGAAACCATATTTTTTTTATTAAAATTACAGGTCGAAACACTTCCACCTTATTGTTCATTTTATTATGGTTTTATTATTTGGATTTGTTTGATGTTTTTTTTTTCCACATTTCTAAGAAGTGCCTTTGTTGTTTTTTGTTAACAAATAAATGCCACGTAGATTAAAAACAAAGAATTTCAAATATTCTCTAAACGATTTTAAATATCTCCTCTAGGCCTCATCCATGCACTGAGTGTGAGAAAGCATTTGCAAGTGCTACTGAGCTGAAGCAACATATGAAAGTTCACTCAGGTGATAAAATTATAGATTCTATTCAATTTAGTTTCAGAAAATAACAAACCAATTTGTTTATTTTCAATGTAAACTTGTGAAATTTTAAAAATTTTACTGTGTTGATCCAATTATTTTATTTTCTTAGAGTTGCTGAGGCTTCTTGTGAATTTGACCGGCTAGACATGGTAGATTAACTGAGAGTGCAGTGTTGAAGAGAAATTATAATTATAATAAAGTACATATAGTTAGCTTTACACCGTTAAAACGTCTTATAGGTCTTAAATGAATTCTAAAAAAATTCTAAAATATTGCAATCTGAGTTCAACTACCATGTCTAGCCGGTCACCCCCTTTACAGTTTTATTTTTCTGTTGAGATGTTCGTGCTTACCAGTGTACAGAGTGTGGAACTAGAATGAAATCTTTGGATAGTTTAAATAGACATATTAGATCCCACTCCGGTATTCAGCCTTACAGGTAGGTGGGTGGGTGGGNCTGTCCCGTTTTTTCATCTATAGTCTGTTGTAACAGTACTGTACAACACTCTAGTTGCCTATTTGATGTACTGTCCCGTTTTTTCATCTAGAGTCTGTTGTAATAGTACTGTACAACACTCTAGTTGCCTATTTGATATACTGTCCCGTTTGTTCATCTATATAGTCTGTCGTAACAGTACTGTACAACACTCTAGTTGAAATTAATCTCACAAGAAGGAGACGATACATTTGATGTACTGTCCCGTTTTTTCATCTAGAATCTGTTGTAACAGTACTGTACATCACTCTAGTTGCCTAAAAGTTGGTCCGGTGCTTGCAGAAATTTTTATTCTTCTCAATCAAGGATGAGAGCTCTTTTATATTTTTATCCCTAGTCGTCTTTATTTCATTATTCTTGAAATAAAAGTTTTATATGTGCTTTTATGGTTAGTACTCATAAAAACACTTTTTATGTTGAAGTTGTCTCTTTGAAACAATTGCTATCTTCAGAGATAGGAGATACACAATAAAAAGTTCATTTTTCTTTTTACACTCCAAAAAAGGTTTTCTTAATGTGGAAATTTTTTGTATCAAGGCTTGAAAAAAATCCAAAAGCTTGATCATACGTTTGTTACGCTCTGATTAAAATCTGTCAGCTATTTATATCATTCTATTTTCAACTTGGTAAAAATAAATACTATTTAAACCAGCCCCCGGAGAATTTATGTCCGATAGTCTTTCTTTTTAAGTCAATTTTGTAGATACAAATTTTTAAGTACTTCTTACAATTGTCATTCTTCACTAAAATAAATTCATAAATAACGATATTGGATTTTAAAAGTTTATTACTGCAATAAATGTTGCTCAAAAACAATATATTTAATTCTTTCTAAATGATATGGAGATATAACTTTAACTTCATCATCATCATGCTATCTTCAACGAAGTTTGTTTTAAAACAGATTTTTTAAAAAAGAATTTCTAATTTTGTTTTGTCTTCCATTTTCTAGATTAGAAAATAACTACTATATTAACTTTATCGATCAATCTTAAAGATTCAAACTTTAAAGTTTAATGACAGATCACATTTGGGATATTTTATACGTGGTTTTAAGAAAGACAATGATAAAGTTGAAGGGTTGTAGAATCTGGTCTAAAAACAAATTCATTTAACACAAAAATTGTAAATGTTACCTTTTCTGATAATAATATTTTGATGTTATAGCGTTGTTTATAAAATATCATCACGTGATATTCCTGAGCAGTGGTTTCTAAACCACTTCTTAATCCAACTAGGTGGCTCCTTGGGGGGGAATCTAACCATAGTTGGGAAATTAATATTCTTCATGAATATATTAATATTAAGAAGATGCAAACTTTTACTCTTAAATTCAGCCGGGATGGATTAGTTTTAAGTTGACGGCGGAGAAAACCTGATTTTACATTAACAAAATCGGAGAAGTCATTTTAGAACTTTATACAATAGAAGCTTGTTTCTTATCCAGACAACGACTGAGTACTGAGTAGGCTTATTTAAACGTAATTATTATGGGCGAAGCAAGCTTGAAGTTTATCTATATATTCGCGGCGGATAATTTTATCTTTATAACGGTTGAGGACGGGTGAGTTAGTTTGATTTAATCTAAAAAAGGACGTAACTTGAATTAGATAAAGAATGGGCGGATGATGCTTGGATTTATATTGAGATTGGCAAAAGAAGCTTGATTATTTATCTTGAGAACGGCCTAAGACTCCTGATTTCGAAAATGAATCAATTCAAAAACAGAAAAATCATTAATTTAAGCCTCGTCTGCAGCTAAACCTTTTCCGACTCTGTGGCTTTGCGGTTCCTTTCGAATGCCCTAAAATTTGCTAAAATGATCTAATATAAATTATGAATAAACCAGTTTCATTTTGAACCTCATCAGCCAGGATAAGGATAAGCAGTAAGCATGTGTGTAGCAGAGCTAGCTAGCAGGTTTAGGGTAATTTAGGAGAGTTTTTTTTATCAAATTTACATATTTTGAAAATATAACCCTTTTTCAATCCCCTGGATATATTATGGTATATTGCCGTCCCTAATTGAGACAGTTAAGAAATGGCCGTATATATGTCTTAGGTCAACGTGGGTATGGATTAAAGATTACTTTGTGCTTTTATTATTTAATTGAAAATAAAAGTATTGAATTTCGAGGGAAAATATCAAGTCGACGGTTTCCGACTAAACTTCATTCATTTCCGTTGAAATATTGTCCGTAATATTGACATTACCGGGACTGAACGCTTAATTTAAAGTGGCCCCTTAAAACCTAAATCTGATCAAAATTGTGGAAGAAACCGTCGTTTTCCTGACTCAAAAAGTGATTAATTCCGATAATTTTTTCAATTGCTTCTTATATGCAAGAAATGCTTAAGTCACTTTTGCAGAGAATGAGAAACTGCAAATGAAAATAAACAGTTTAAAGAAACTTAAACATGACTATGTCTAATTCATACTTGGTCAAGGTGGAAGGATAGTTTCCTTGTCGGATATTATTAGTCTTTATTTAAGTTGTGATAAATGTGCAGCCAGGTTCTCCTGTTCCTCGCATCTATCAAGGCATAAAGTAAGGGAAAAGAATAATTTAATAATTTGTTTAAACTAAAGAAACCATGAGATTTTGCCACGAACTCAAATATTCTAATCTCCATTTCTTTGCAGTCTGTGTAAACCTTTAATATTATACAAACTTAGATTGTTTGATATAAGAAAATTTAATGATTGAAATATATATGGTCTACGACATTGGGTTAACAAGATATAAGTATTAGAAAATCGGAATTTGTAGCAAAGACTCAGTTCCTTAACGTCTTTCTGACTTTTTATTATTTTAGTGTATTAACAATGAACTAAACTTTTAAACTTTAAAGACCTTTCTGTAGGTTTATATTTTTTTAAATAAATAAAGTTTAACATCCTAAATATTTTAATCTATTTCAGGCAGTTCATGAAAATATTAAGCCTTTCTTCTGTGATCTTTGTGATAAATCATTTGCACAGAACGACAACTTAAAGCATCACATTAAAACCGTGCACAAGAAGATAAAAGAACACTCTTGTGATGTATGCTCCAGTAAGTTTAGCAGAAAGAGACACCTGATGGACCATATGAGATGTATTCACAAGATAGGGAAGCTTCTAGAATATCCTTGTGATAAATGTGATCGAATATTCTCTAGGAATCACCATTATTAAACAACTTTATGCAAAAAAAAATATTGCCGCCAAGTTACATTTTTTAGCAATATCTGTGTTTTTGGCTTTCAAAAGCTTCCTTGCAAAATTTGGTATATTTTAAAGTTGCATTTTCTTAAGATTAATAAAAAATTATTTTTAAATTAATCCTCGCGAACGATAGGTTTTGCTTCGTTTAAACTTGATTTCTTCTGTTAAAGTGCACATTTAACAGTTTTTAAGAAAAAGCAAACTTAAAATTTTAAATTATGTTCTAGTTACACCTCGTTCTTGAAAGTAATATCTACATATTTTATAATGAATTTTTTATAATCAATTTCATAATGAACGTGCTGTAAAGTAATCATCGTGCTATACAGCTAAATTAGTTGTACATTAAAGCACGTGTGCTATAAAGCTTTTTTTGGAAGTATCAATTGAAATGAAAATGAAATTGAAATCAACTTTGTATTTTGACTTCTGCTTTGTTTCAAAGCTTATTTGATGTAAAAGAGACATTGAAATAAGACAAGTCCACAAACGTTTCATAAATTTACATTAACACTATTCTTTTGGCACGACGTGCTATAAAGTTTTTGGACTTAAATTTGTTCTATATCTCGAAGGTTCTCGCCTTTTTAGATAATTTGTTGTCCATCGCTGAAGCTCGGGACAAAATGGAATCTAAAAAGGATTGAACCTTCTCGATAAAAGAAAATTTCTGTCCAAAAACCAAAATAACAGTGTTATAAATAGTTAATTTTTTTAAACAGATAGAATGGAACGTCTAACACTGCCTGAAAGCTCTTATGTTGGATACCCTTAATCACATTCGCTTAACCTCAATATCCATTGTGGACACTTTTGATTTTCTGCTTAATCCTCTCTTTTGGATATCCCTGTTGGGTTCCGACCAATGAGAGCTTTCTTATTAATTGTCCGCAAAATTTCCCGGCTTCTGATTAGCTGTTCAGTTTCTGGAAACGACACTATGATTGGTCGAATTTTAGATCAACAATTGAGATCAAGCATTGATCTCAATATCCACAATACAAGAGTTTTTAGCTCTGGAGTATTTATTTATTATTTAAATGGTTAGATTGGGAGCGAGGAACCGACACTATAGAATGGTTCACCTCAAGCAACTCAAGTATGCTTGCACTTCATGTAATCAAAGGTTCGGATGCTTAACTGAACTCAAGAGACATTCTCAGTCCCTGAAGCATATTAAGAATTCAGAAAACAGAATAAAGGTGGAGGGAGAGGGGGATGAGGAGGATGAGGAGGTGAAGGGGGAGGAGGAGTTGCAGGATCATTATTTAATAGATGATGAGATATCTATTGATGAAGATTCAGAGGATGAAGAGATAATATTATCCGATGAGGATCTGATATAAAAATAAAAATCCTTTTTTGAATTAATTCCTTTTTAAATTGTGTAACGCTAGAAATAAACCAAAAATAAAAATTTTATTATTAATTTCGTTTAAAAAATTATATTATTATCATTATTTTAATTTTTTTATGTTGTAGAATATGTATTATATCATATCTGTTCGGTTTCATAGTAGTAAACCTATCGTGTAAGAATTCCCATTATTACACGGTTCAGGAGGAACAATTTTAATATTGTTCGCTTCCTTGCGTTTAGGAATGCTTATTATTACACTGTAGGTGTAGTATTTTCATTATTTAACGCTCAGACCGTGTAAGAATTTTATTATTTAACGCGCAGACCGTGTAAGAATGGAAATTATTACACGGTCGGAGCGTGAAAGAATGCAAATTCTTACACGCTCCAAGCGTTAAAGAATGAAAATTATTTCACTAGTTGAAGAATATTCATTCTTACACGGTTATTAAATATTATGAATATTTAATAAATTTTACATTAAAAAGCGTTGGATAAACAAATTCTATATAAAAAAGCATCCTCACTTACCTTTTTTATTTATTTCAAACATGCTCACTTACCTTTTCATGCTCACTTACCTTTTTATTGTTTAAAACTATGAAATAATGAAGTTCAGGATAGTCCATTTTAATCTTAAATGACATGACAAAACTATCAAAATAAAAAAAATTAGTTCTTGAAGCGAAAACCAGACTAAAAATTAACAAACTAAAAAATCTTTGTCAAATCATTTCTTGATTAGGATTCTAGTCTACTGTAGAACCCATTTTTCTTTCTTCTTTTTAGAAGGCTTTTGGTCTTTAACTGCAGCAGGCTTACTCCAATCAACTTTGCTCTGTTGTCTTAATTTAAACCAGGACTGAAGCAGAAAATCAATTATTTTTTAAATTTAGCCAGAATTGTACAACATAAATGTAATAATTAATAAAGTTTGAATTTCTCCTTGATTGTAAAAGCAATGGATTTACAGAACAATTGACTGACTGTCTTTATAAATTACCTGTTCTTGGATTGGTGCGAAATTCTTTCCTGACTTTCCTCCCATTAAGGACTGAGTCAACTCTTCCTGTTCAGCAAATTTAGATTTTTCTTCAGAATGAATTTTTTACTTCTTTACTTCTTTTTAGATTTTTCTTCAGAATGAATTTGACTTGGTCGACTTTGTTGTTTGGTCTTGCCTGGGACATCAGTTGATTTAGATGGTTGATTTTCAGTATTATCTGCAGACTTGGAAAATATAACTTCCACTTCGAGATCTTCTGTTACTGAATTCTTCCTCTGCTTAGATAGAACTGAACTAGTGATAGTTGAACTTGCTCTTTTCGACTGCTGGTTTGTTTATCTCATTCATATGATTAGGCAACGATTCTTTAAGAATATGTCTTGTAGGGGCCTGGAATAATGGAGCCGCCACAGAGTTCTGGTAGAGGAGCAATGGGTTATTATCCAAAAAGTATGGATTTTGTTTGACAAGATCCCTCACTGTAGCAGGAGTGCTGTAATAAGCAGGATTATTCAACTCACCAGGAATGAGAGTGCTGAACCCATTATTAGAAACTAGGTTACTGTAGGCAACGCTGCTGGAAGCGGGGTTAAACACTGTATTAAAATCAGGATTGTAAATAGGAACCAACCCATTACTAGAGACGGGATTAAATGAGCTTGCCCAAAAAGGGTTTAGGACATGACCGAATCCAGTGTTAGGGAGATGATTTAGTCCATTGCGCAAAAGATAATTGAAGCTGGTGTTCTGAGGATGATTAAATTCCACGCTCAGTACAGGGTTAAAACCTGAGTTGTATAAATTGCTTAACTCACAATTTCGTGCCGAACTATAAACATGGTCGTAACCCGGGACAATTCCAGTAGCTGAGGATTTTGTGGATTGCTGATCGTTTCTCTTCTTGGCTGCTAATTCTTCTACATGTTTCTGTGACTCCTCTATCAACAATTCATCTTCGCTGGATGAGAATACAGGAGAGAGAGATTTAAAAGGTTCAGGAACTTTTTTCTTTTTGACTGCCATTTGTTTATCATACTGCTGTGAAACCTTGATGAGAACTTCATCTTCACTGGATAAGAACTCTACGCTTGTATCAAAGTTTACAACTACTATATCTTCAATGTCAAAGTTAGAAACAACGTCGTCATCTTTAACACCAGGAACAAAATATTTGATTTCCGAGAATTTATTGGACTTCTGAAGAGGCAGATTTGCATAAACTATGATTTTATGATGTTTTAATCAATATTCAAAAAATTTTTATCTCAATAAAATTTCTTAATGTTGAATTTTAATCTTAATAGCAAAGTCAATGGTTAAAATTTTAAACATCATTCCTTCAACTTTGCTCATATTTCCCCGACCTAGCTGAGCTGCATAGCCTATAGTTGAAGCCATATTAATCTTATCTCCAGCATCCAGGGTGTGATCATAAGATTTTATCAAACTCTCAATACATTTATGACCTGTTAGTTTCATTATTTGCTCAGTGGCAACACCAGCTCTTCGAAGAGCGTGAATAGCTATACATCTCACTAAAACAAATTTAATTATTTAGACCCTTGTCTTTTCACAGTTTAAAAAAAAAACTGTTTTTCTTTTGCATTGAAAGTACTAACTTTCTTGTTATTTATAAGTTTAGGTCTACATGAATTTAATTCCTTGATGGTTCGTTTGTCGTTCTGCTCCTACTGCTGTACATAACTCCGGAAGCATGTTTCTTACAGTATTAATTCCAACCTTCTTCTTAGCTTCATAGAAAACTTTACACTCTGGATCCATAAAGTTAAAGGTTTTAGACAGAACCTTTGGCTGATTAAACAGGTATGCTGTTCCAGACTCTGGAGTAGGCAGATATGAGAGATATCTTTCATAGAGAGCACCAGGATTAAAGTATTCATTAATCTGGATATACGGAATGAACCCTGAATTATCCACCTCTCCCTGTCCAACTTTATGATTTTTATCTTTTTCAAACGTTACCTAAATTTTAATAATTCATCTTTTTAATTTAAAAAAATGGGAAGATTTGTTTGTTTTCTCTTTTAATTCAAAAGTTTTTTAATCAATTGGGATTTAAATGGATTAATGAATTTCCTTTTTCCAGTAGGATATTTGTCTATTTTCATCATCCTTTTTCACAAAGTGTTCAACCTTCAACTTGTCGATGTTCTCCACACCACGACGAATATCAAAGAACGTAACAATCAGCTAAAAATATTTAGAATTTTATTCTATGTATTAAATTATAACAGATGTTTACATTCTTAAAAATAGAATTTTCATTCACCTGTGCACCCCACTGGGCTAGATGATGGAGTTTGTTGTGATAAACTGGATTGATTTCAGCCAAATGCTCAGCCACAACCTTCTTGTTCTCCCTATTACTTAGCACCATATCCACATGATAAATAAGTTTGTATATTTTATCAATTGTATCTGCCGGTATTTCTGAATGGTGAGTGGTATGAGATAGTCCTAAAGAAGATGTAGAATTAATAACGTAAAAATATAAAGATTTGTTTTATTTTGAATAAATAAATTGTTAAATATATATGGAGTTTATAAAACTAACCTTCCTCTGCCAACTGCTCCCTAAACGCTTTCATCTTCTTCTTGATATTTGGGAACTTGCAAGCATCATCCAAATCAATCTTATGCCTATTTATTTAAATATTGATTAAACATGAGTCAACCGAACTAACTAATTTTGTAGCAAAAGAAAAAAATTCTAGCATAATATTGATAATAAATATACATACTTCATTTTCAGACACATCTTCAGTTGAGAAAAATGCTTCAGTGCGGTATTCAATTTTGGCCGGCCTACTTTCTCATTTCTAACAAACTTCCCCTAAATTAAATTAAATACAGTATTCAAATATTGGTTGTACAATGTACATTCTATATAATAAAGGAAGACTTTCATATATATGCCGGATCCAGTGGGCTGAAATGTTTTTGTGGACACTCATGGGTGACAGGGGGGGGGGTGTTATATAACGTATAACATTCATCTTATAAAACAAACCTTAGGAGTAACACGCATTGTGAAAAAGAAAGTCCAAACGAATCTTTCTAAATCTGTATCATCATAGAGAGAAATATCTCTGTTCTCCTTAGTTTGATCTGAAACCCAGGATATGAACTGTTTGTAAATTATCTCTCGATCCCGTTCTGTCGCTTTAGCTAATCCACCCCCACTCTCTATCTTCTCCTCGTCTAAAACACTTAACGGCACATTTCTTGGCATGCTATATCTGAATATAGTAATTATTGGAAATGACAATCTAGCTACAAACGTGCATTAAAATATAGAAACCAAAACTAACAAAACTAACTAAACAATCACACCACATGCAATATGTAACGTTAAATCAAATGAAAAATCAAATTTAATTATAAGTATTTTGAAAACAAGATTCCTCATTTAAGCATTGTAATTTTTGAAAAAGGACAGAGACAATCAAGAAAGAGGTTAAACTTAAATACGAAAACTTGTTCACAACGCTTTTTATTGTCAGTTCTTCCAACTTGAAATATTCATAAATCACCTGAAAAAAAAAACAATTAGTTAAATTCAATAGGGTATGTGCTCATGAAACCTCACAATTATGATATAATATTAATCTTATGAGGAAAAAAATGTAATAATGGAATTCTTAAACTCGATGAAATAATCTTGATACATTCTTTAACTCAGGCCTGCGGCCTTCGTTAAAGAATGTATCAAGATTATTTCATCTCGTTTAAGAATTTCCATTATTACATTTTTTTTCCTCATAAGATTATCATATTATGTAAGAACTACACTATAGTAGTACATACTAAAAGGAAAAATAAATAGAATGAAAAAGTTCAACAATGTTTGAAAGTTTAATGCAAAATCCTGTAAAACTTGCCAGAAATAAGAAGTTGTTTCCAAACTCGAAATTAACAATAAATAAATATTTAAAATAATTAAAATTTTAACTCTTTATAAAACTTATTTAGTTTTCAAATTAATATTTGATCTGGTTTCAACAGTTTAACTTTTAAACTATCTAGAAATAAATTCTTTAGAAATCGGAAAGGAGATGAAGATATTAAAAATAATGCAAGTAATGCAGAAACGGATCGCTGTGACTGGAAATAAATAAAAAGTTCTTTAAGGTTGAGAGATCACAAGCAAACATACACAGAATAAGTCAGGAAAAGTGATGCAAACTTTGTTTTATTATTATTATTGATGCAACAAAAATCATAAAAAAACCTACGATTTTTTATATAAAGCAAATAACATTTTGACTAATAATTCGGAATTCGAAGTTTATAAATTTATTTAGTTGTTGAGTAGTCAACCGTGACAGGGTGAAAGTATTTCTAATCATTTCATTTCAATTTCTAAGTGCTCTCAATTTGGATAAATTTAAATCTTTGCTTCTTTAATGTTTTCCTCGAGATTTTAGTTATGCTTTTAGTATAAATATTAACAGTGATTTAGAGTAGGTTAAAAGGTTAGTAAGAAACTTTCTGCGTAGGGGCGTTCGGTTTTTTTATTTTGTTCGTTCATCGTTTGTGAACGACCCATTTCGATTTGTTTTCAATCGTTTAAAAAAAAAATTTTGTTCATTTTAAAAATCGTTCTTCTTACAGTAAAAACAAATATCGTGTTTTCGAAAAAATCGTTTTTTCTGTAAAAAGCGATCGTTAATAAATATTTTTATTTTAAATTGTTAGTTTTTAAAAAAAAACTTATGTTTTTCATATCTCTGAACGATCCAAGTTGTTAGTTTTTGTCTTGGTGAAACTCGAAATATCCTCATAATACATAAAATTTTTTGCACTAAAAAAATTTCTGTTTTATAATAAAATAAGCAAGTTGTAAAGGAAAAATTTATTTAATTCGAATGCAGCAATATCATTTTTTATTCTTAGACTTTTAGGTTCTAATAAATGCATTCAAACATAGTTGTATATTTAAACATTAACATGAATCATTAAACTTTGCACAAGGATTATAATATAATTATAAACAATACATATATAGTTATATTTTAAATAAATTTACAACAATTTGACAAACAATATTGACACTCGTATTAGAGCTGCCTTCAGCTGTTTTTGTTGATTTTTTTTTGTATTTTTATGAACTGTAAACTTTGCACAATGATTAAAATTATAAACAACAAATATATATATATATATGTTTTATATACATTTATAACAATTAACATTTGACAAACAATATTTACACTCGTAGAGCAGTCTTCAGTCGCTATAAAGATTTTTAGATTTTAAGTAAACCAACCTAGAGGAAACGAGCCTAAACGTTGTCTGACCTAACAAACTTATCAATACCTCCCTTTGTAAGACCTTGAAGCTGTATTAAACCAGCATGCCAATGCATGGTCTGTTTACGAGTAGCTCAGGCACATCTTCTCTAGTTTGGTTGACAAGGTACCATTACATTCAGGTCTCAGGTTTTAACGTTTTGTAATGTTGTAAGTTAAAAGAGTTAAGGTATTATACCCATTACCAGCTAATGAGAGTTTGGGTAATGAGCACGTTTTTCAGCTGTTCAGAGACTGTTAAAGATATTTTATCAGTTTACAGAGCATGTTCTGATATTATGTTAGTTTAAAGAGCATTTTCTGATATTTATCAGTTAAAGAGCATGTTCAGATAGTATGTCAGTTTAAAGAGCATTATCTGATATTTTGTCAGTTTAAAGAGCATGTTCTTATATTATGCCAGCTTAAAGAGGTTTTTATATTATGTCAGTTTAAAGAGCATGTTCTTATATTATTTCAGTTTAAAGAGAATATTCTAATATTGTATTAGTTTAAAGAGCATGTGCGGATATCCTATTATTTTAAAAACCATGTTCTGACATTATATTAGTTTAAAAAGCATATTCTGATTGTTTAAAGAGCATGTTCTGATATTCTATCTGAATCTAAAGCTAAAGTTGTCTCTGCTTGCCAGTTTCTTCTAATTATCAACTTCAATCTCACAGAACCAACATCCTAGACAATTAAAACATAAATATCTTGTTCATAGCAATTTTACAAATAAAAATAAAATCGATTTTATTTTGGACAAAACTCAATTCCGTTATAAAAATGTAAATTCAGGATAGATACAGAGTTGATGGTACTAAAACCCCTTGGCTAACCTGGACAATAAGGGAGATCGATTTTGAAGAAAAACTTGAAATTTCAATTGTTTAGCCGGATTTGTGTGGAGCACGGAAATTTCAAAAATACTTATTTTTCATTTTGGTGAAGTCAATTTAGAAGGACAAATTAGATTTTTAAGGGATGGCAGCCCCCCCTCCTGAGTACGCCACTGTCTCTATCCCTCTCTCCGCCCTCAACCTGGACTGATCTAATGCTCCTACTCTTATCTTCCTAGAAAATTTTGACTAGCCGAGGGGTAACAATGCTCCCTGAAGATATTAATAGACCTTGTCTTGTTACCAGTCCAACATGAGATCTATAAATATTCAGGAAGCAACCTCCTCCTCGCAAATATGAATGCATAATGTGACCAAAATGAGTAAATGTAAACTTAAATATAAATCTAAAATAAAAATAAAAGCTTGATTAGATATACCTAAAGATTTAAATTTTTATTTTTAGAAAAAGTAAAATTGTTTCTATAGGTTTTCTGAATCCTAAATATAATATATTCAAATTTTATATCTCCTGTCTTTTATCAAATATTTTCACTGCTCTTAGTTATTAATTTCATTCTCTTTCCATAGAGCTAGGTATAGTACAAACTAGGACCCGGCTCGAAAATTCAAATGTACTGCGGCTGCCCGTGGGATATTAATCTAAGGATCATTTTAGCGTTTTCATAAGTCTTTTAAAGTTTTAAATTTGAAAATAAAAGACAAAAATAAGAACAACTAAAAAATTTAAAAAAAGATACATTTTACACACATTTGTAAATCTTTAACGTTTATATTGAGAAGTTTTAGCAGGAGAGCTTTTTGCAATAAGAAGAAATTATTAATGTCGAGTAAAAGGAATTGAGTCTTTGCCACAAACTCAAATTTTCTAATAACTTTATCTTTGCAACCTAATGGTGCAATCCTTTGATATTGCAAGCTGAGATTATTTTATCTACGGATTTCATAGTTTGAAATATCTAAGGTCTACGAAATTCGGTTGCAAAGATATAGGGATTAGAAAATCATAGTTTGTGGAAAAAATTTATTTTCTTTATTTAACATATCGTGTACGGAACAGATAAAAACCTTAATTTCCTTTGTATTTAATATTAATCATATGCTTTGCTATTATCTGGATTGTATTCCGGATTTTTATCGACTTTTCTGAGAAACCATGAGCATAAAAGCATAAAACAAAAAATTGGTTTTTGATTTAATGAAATATTTAAATATTTTCGTTTCTGTAGAACATTTGCTGGATGCACTGAAAAATAAAATCGTTTTCAAATTATTAAGAGCACTAATTTTACGAGACCTATAAAAGATGTAAACAAAAGTAATTTGCACAAAATACAAAAAAGAACGCAGTGCGTGTAAAATATTAATTGAGATTAGTTTAGAGTACAATATAAATATACAAGCAACCTTCAGCTTGCTAAATATCTGGGATTTGCATGCAATATCTGGGATTTGCAAGCAATATCCCAATTTGCACAACTATGAATTATTTATCATTATGTTTTTTGTCTTTTCAATTAGACTTAGGATTTTTTTTTATTAGGTTTAGGACTTTGGATATAAAATTATAAATTAAATTTGGGCTTAGCATCATGTTAGGCGAACTTTTAAGGAATGTTTTTTTTCAGATTTTATGTTATTTCCATCCCAATCAAAGATAAAATTATCACCTTTTGGTCAAACTTTAGAATAAGATTTTTATTTTGTACACACAAATATATTCTTATAAAATTATCACGTCCATCCCCCCTCTCTATTTTTTAATTGCTTTATTCCCAGTTCTCTGGACTGATATTGTTGTTTTTACCACCTTAATAATTAATACTTTAATTATCCGTGCGAGGTTGATAATTTATAATTCATATCTTTGCAAAAAAATTTAATTAACTAATTCTCGTTAACGAACTTATTAGGCTGTAAAGCAATTCTGAAACTTAGTATTCCCGATTAAAGAGAATTTCAGCTCATAAACCCTTCTCTTTAATCGCGCTGCTGAATTTGATTTTAATTCGACATAGATCGCTACCTAATTTACTCTTATCTGATAATTCAATAATAAGAAATTCATATGAAATATTGTTTAAAACTGAAACTATTATAAATGCTTTTTAAGCTGCATTGATTAGAATATAAGTTATAATGCGTCGATTAATCATACTTCTACTTAATCTAATCGATTAGTTGACCTACCCTGCTGTTGGGTATGATTGTGGTTGAGGTTTGAGCAGAAATCCAGGTTGGTACCTGGATACTACCAGGATCAGGACCCTGAGTACAAAACGTCTTCACAAATGCCTGAAAAAATAGATTTTTAAAAGATAAAAGAAAAGTTAAGGGATTTCGAATTAAAAAGAGAAGGCATAATAAATAAACTTATAAAGATTATAGTAGGAACATGGAAAAGGCTAAAAGCAAAGGCCTAGATAAAAAAACAAACAATTTAATTCAAAATCAAGATATTCAAAAGTTCACAATACATTTAAGACCAAGACTTTGTCTAAATATAGATTAGATGGAAAAGTGTAATCTATACGAGACATTGCTAGACAAGACAAGATCAAGGCATAACAATATAAAACAAGACGATGAAGACAGGAGACAGACGATGAAAAGACAGGTTAAACCAAGAAAATACAGGACACGGCTAGAAATGACAGGACACGACAAGAAAAGACAGGACAGGATTAGAAAGGAGACGGCTAGACAAGACAGGACACGACTAGACAAGACAGGACACGACAGGACATGACTAGAGAAGACAGGACAAGACTAGACAAGGAAAGAGACGACTAGAAAAGACAGGAGACAACTAAACCAGAAAGGAGACGACTAGACAAGAAAGAATAACCAGACTCATTACCTGACTTTTAAAAGTCCAATAAACGTAAATCACAGAAATTGTGCAGTGTAAACAGACCCAATTCATTTAATAAGTGTTTTAAAACTTACTAGGGAAACTAATTGCATTGTAACAACATCAAATACACTTCAGTATTGCTTTAGTGTCGTCCTTCATTCTACAGTTTTCTGCTAATCACTGTAGGACGAGACTAGTCAAGACGAGATAAGACAAGACATAATAGGACTATTCATACACCATGACGAAACAATATAATGATTACCTTTCTATATTTCACATTCATGATATGGTAAAGTATTGGATTGAGAGTACATGAGAGGAAATACAAACACCCGGATAAATAGAACAGATATTCATTCACAGTCCGGAACGATTCACTCTCCTGTAAAAAATCTGATCTTTAAATGTTGTTTAAAGAGACCTTTCATCTAAAGAGTCCGATTCAAAAAATGCACAATGCTGCCCTTTGAAAATGATATATTTGAGAAACAACTAAAAATACTGTATCGTCGTTTTCTAAAAAAAAATATCAAATTCTAATAACTTCCTGCATTCCTATCAGGCATAATGAGCAAGTCTATTTAGATGAGAAACCAGAATGGAAAAAAGAAACATAAGCTGATCTGAAAGCTAAATTGTATTGGATAAATGGATGTTCCCCTGTATCCCCTGACGACACTTTGATTTTCTGCTTAATCCTTTCCTTTCGATATATCTGCTGTCTTCGAACCAATGAAAGTTTTCTCATTGATTGAGCGCCATAATTTTGAAATTTCTCGGCTTCTGGTTGGCTGTTCGGTTTCTATAATCGACACCTGATTACAGTTAAGACAATTTCCCAGATATTAACTGGGAATAAAATTAAACTTCAGATTGTTAAAAAGAGGAGATCAAGAATTAATCGGGATATCCACATTTCTTAAGGAAAAATAAGAATATCCTCCATGGTTAAAGGGTCCTATTGTAAATAGGACTTGCTATTCTATATATTGAATTAAAGAAAACTGTGGCGGAACCTTTTCCCTATAAACCTGGCGGTAAAGGAACATATAAACTGTTATAGTTTTGCATCAGCTTGATGATATTGCATCTATTTTTCCTGATTATATTTGCCACATCATTTTCAGAAAAAAAGCTAAAATTTTCTCACACAGGCTTTAAAGAAAATATAATATTTCAGCATCATTTTAGTTATGAATAAACAGAAAATAACAATTTATATGAAGATGAGCTGGAAATAAAACACTTTTGTTTTCATATCTGAGAAGGAAATGTAATAATTTATTCCATTATGTTGAAGAAAGATAAGGAAAAGCAAAATATATTATTTTCTCCAGAAAGCACATCAAATTTTAAAAAAAATCCATTTGCGGAGGTCTACTGGGAGGAAATAATTTTTGTAAAAAAAATATGAGTAAAAAATAAATATTTTTTCAATTCTCGTCTTTCCCAAAAAAAATTCGAAACGTAATTCAGGGGAAGAAAGTTCAAAAATGTGAATTGGCCCAGACCTGACACTGAGTGTTAGATTTCAGCCAACTCTGTAAAGTTATCTTTTCAATGGTTCATATTTTTTTAATTTAGGCCGAGAATAAGAATCCGCCTGCATGCTTCAATTTAGAACAGTTTAAATATTATAACCCCCCTACTAATAAAGAAATTAAAATTTTTGAGGATTATCGATTTCAGTTTAAAAAATGTCACATTTTTTAAACAAATTCACAGTTTGGTCGCAAAACACGTTTTGGAACAATAAAAATGTAAAAGATATATTCTGTTCTGATAATTTAAGATATAGCAACTTATAACATTGAAGATTTCTAATATTACTTATATACAATTATTTGTTCTAACAATTAAATTAAACAGAAATATTTTACGTTAAAAATGAAGGAAGCCAGAAATCATCTTTTCACTCCGTATTTAAAAATATAGTCTGTAAACACATTTTAGAATAATTTAGAAAATTAAAATATTTTTGGCGATTTGTGCATGCTATTTTGTAAAATATAAAAGTGCGTTTTGTCCTGAATTATTGAATAATATCAAATTATGGATTGTTAAAGAAGCTGGTTAATGTTCCAAACCCTGTCCAAGATTTAAATTCGTGACATATGCGAAAATGGAAAACCTCGAATTGTTTCGAAAATGGTATAGATTTTTATCAAAAATGATCAACTGCTCAAGGTTTTAATTTTAGATTAGAAGTAAATAGCGTTATTTTTAATTTTGATGCTTTATTATATGTTGGAAATAATTTCTTAAATTAATTATTGCAATGGCACAGGGAGAGTTACTAAAACGTTGATCGTCATATTTGTGCCCTAACCAGTGTCAGGTTAGGAACATAAACACGGTTTGGATCTTTCTTACCCTGTAATTGATTTAACTGTACCACTGCCGCTTGTTATTCGCATAATAAAAGTAATTAAACATAATAAGAGTAATTAAATCTGCAGAATTGTATATTCCATAATTTCAATTAGTTCAAGTCTGTTCAAGCAAATGATAATGTTAATTAATATGCTTTTTAACTGTATTTAGGCATCAATTAAAACAAATGAAGATCAGAGCATAATTGTTTTGTTTTCTATAAGTTTTTTAAAAAGTTCAAGTGAGTCAATTTATGTTGTTTGGGTTGGTTTCATTGAATCTCAAGACAAATGTTATAATTTGAGTTTCAGCGCGGCTAGTCTAAAAGTCTGATTCAGTTTTGATCGTGGTTCGATCCAACTACAGCTGGATATATTTTGATGTCCCATTGGAACATGAATGGAAAGTTCCGCGGTTTTACAGTAACTTTTAAATACAAGAATGAATAGTTTTTATGTTGAAGGATTCGATGATTACGTAATAACTGAAATGATAAATATGTTATTTAATTAGTAATGATCAATGTCTCCTATTTGTGCATAATTTTGCATATTTTTCTTTTTTCTTTTGTAAAACTATATATTCAAATTATTTAAACAAATTTAAACTACACCATTTATATATGTATTTAAATCTTTGTGTGTGAATAAATCTTTATAATATAATAATAATATCTCCGGATCAAAACCGGCGTGAAAAATTTACAGGGGACCAAATTTAAGGAATTTGAGCTAAGTCGCTCAACTATCTTTTGTTGGTTCAAATTTGAACCACGTATTTTAAGTTAAAACTTCAGGAAGTATTTGAACCGGCGGTGTGCAGTTAAGCGATACCACAAACTCACTAAATTCGGTTCAGGGGGTTTAGACTTAGCTTGAATTAAATCTATAAATGAAGTAATTCAAAAAAGTTTAACTAAATCTACCATGTCTACTGGATTTTCCTAAATAGAATGACGCAACTTTACGTAATATCTATAAATGTATTTACGCATTTTCTAAGGGTTTCTTTAAGTGCAATAATACATGTTTATTGGGTTTTATTGAATTTAATGAGTTGATTGGATAACCATGAAACTTTTTATTGGGTTTCCCAACTGTGGGATCTTTACATACATGATATGTTTATTTCTAAAGAACCATTGTTTGGAGGGTTTATTGGGGATTCGTTCTTTTAGTTTGTCTGACGTATCTATCTATATATATAAAGTTGTGATCTCTGTTTGTATGTCCGATTATAACTCATGAACCCCTTTGACCGATTTGTATTAAATTTTGATTGGGGAACTCGGTAGACCCACATGAATGTTCTTACCTTGGTTTAAAAATTCTAAATTAAGTGGGTTGACTTTAATTGAGAAAGTTCCCAAGCTGGTATTTGTATAAAGTTTATGTAAATTATGTACATTGTACAATGTACATATGCCTGTGGCGTATTCATGAATGACATACCTTAAAATAGACGTATCCCAATCTTTGAACATGAAATGGAGCCCAGGATACAAAGAATACAATAACAACAGCAACTAAAATATAAACAATGGTTTACGTTTAATTAGTCCAAGTTCTTAGAAATCTTTTTCCATGTCACATACGATCAATGTCTTTTGAAGCCATTTCAGCTTTAATACGATATAAAGATCGTTTAAAACACATAGTTGGTAAAAAATATTTCTACATGGTGTTTCTGAAAAAAGTATGTTTAATTATTTTAGCTTTCTAAAGGTCGTTTTATTGTTAAAAAAGTGTTGTACAGTACTCTCCCTCTTTTTCATAGATTTTTCAAAGCATACAACAAGTATAAAAATAACTATATTTTAGATTACTGGTTGCATTTAGAAACACATAAATCTTCTTTTCGGTATTTACCCCCCCCCCCTCCCCCATTTAGAAATACTGTTTAGTGTTTAGTACGATAAAAGACGTTTCGTAGACGATAAAGCTTACACCCACTTTTTTTTCAGAGATACCTTGGTTTTTAAAAAAGGTTACAAATTTGTATTTGATTTATAATTTGAAAACTAAATATTTGTTAGTTAAAATTCAAATAAATATTATTTGGCTAAATTATAGTTTTCTGTAGGAACTCAAATCCTAACTTACATAGTAAGAATACCATTCCTTCAATTTACAATGTTCAAAGATAAAATAGAATTATTCTTTGTTTGTTAATGATACCGAAGACGACCTTTCATCCTTATATTTCAGACTTACCGATATTTAGATAACCTGCTTTGAAGACCTACCTAGCAGTCTAATTATCTGTTTGAAGACTACCTGCTTAGCATTTAATAATCTGTTTGAAGACGGCCTATCTTGCATTATAATAATCTGTTTAAAGACCACCTACCTAGCATTCTAATAATCTGTTTGAAGACGACCTATCTTGCATTATAATCTGTTTAAAGACCACTTACCTAGCATTCTAATAATCTGTTTGAAGACGACCTACTTAGCATTCTGATAAAGTGTTTCAAGACGACCTACTAAGCATTCTGCTAAACTGTTGAAGACGACCTATCTTGCATTCCAATAATCTGTTTGAAGACGACCTATCTTGCATTCCAATAATCTGCTTGAAGACGACCTATCTTGCATTCCATTAATCTGTTTGAAGACCACCTACCTAGCATTCTGATAATTTGTTTCCTATTATCAAGAGGGGAACCTCTAGACTGTCTGTGTCTTGATCTCCTGGTTTACCAACGAACAAAACATGTAAACAGATTGTGAGGAAATTTTAACGCTACCGCCATTTTTAAGATTAAAAAGACGGAGGTATAGAAACTTTTATCTGCTTTACAGTTTTCAAAAATACGGGTTAAGATAGATTACTATAATATTTGCAATAGACTTTTCATTGCCGTGTTTCTGTTTAGAGAAATGATGAAAACAACAATTAAGATAATTCTTGGAATCCAGTACGTGCAATATCGATTCTATGTATTCTTATTCCATTTTTTCCACTTCAGCTTAAAATTTGAGTTTGATGATTTCAATGTTGAGGTCAATGTTAGACACTGACACAACCTCTTTACACAATAGTTTCACCAGGTTAAAAAAAATCAGTCGTCTTCATTTTTTCAAATCCGAGATATATTGCCATGAAAGGAAACAAGCTTTTTTAAATATATTTCTTTTCACAGAAACACTAAATGTAATTTTATTATCCTAACTTAATGTGACATTTACTTAGAAAAATAAATGGCAATAAATTTTGTACACCCATCATACAGGGTGTCCCAAAAAACATGGGAATTCAGTGACGAATTGTATATCGTCTTTGCTATGAATTAGCATTGTAATACCTAATTTCAAAAGCCATAATATTATTATGTCTGCTAGAGTTTATTTTATGAAAAGGGTTAAAGACTTCAAAGATGTGCCTATACTGTCTCCGCAAGATGAACAGTGAAGACTGACAAGTTTACTCTGAAGAATGACAAGTTTACTCTGTTTGTATACTGCAATTTGCTTGTTTTACTAAGTACAACCGTATGCAGTCAAAACATAAACAAACAAAATGTAAACATAGCAGACGAAACTCTTACAGATTACAGCTTTCTCAGTTGGTAACACTATACTAAATCAAAGAACTATTTAAAAAGACGATATCGAATTCGTCACTGAATTCCCATGTTTTTTGGGACACCCTGTACCTTAACTACGTATCAGTTTATATTATTTTTATTAATTTTTAAACTGCATCTTTCTCAATCTTTTCAAAGAAACATTGAATCTCTAGGTAATTCAATTAACGAAAATATCAAAACTTTTCAAATATGAAAATGACTTTAAAACTTTTTGTTCTGTTTACCTTTTATAATTTTAAACTTCAGTGTTTTATCTTAAAAATCGAAAAGTTTAAATTTACAATATTCGATTTTTTATACAGGGTTACCCACAAAGGATGAGACTTCAGTGATGTCTTTGCAGAATTTATACTGTCTGTTTACTGATATCAATGATTCTCGGTAACTACTGTATGTCTTTCTTTACTTAATCATAAAATAAGCCATTAAACGACTATATCTAATGTAGAAGACTTATATAAACTTAAGAATCATCATATTTGTAGAGTTTCAGGTCGTCTTTACAGTCTCATCCTTTGTGTGTTACCCTGTAGATTTCTGACCTTTTAGAGATGACCTTTCAAATTTCAAAATCATATTTGATATCAAGGCCTTTCATACAGACCACATGTTTTTTCTTTTATTTTATTAACCTATTCCATCATTCGTGGATCAAAAAGATAAACATTGGACACAATTCAAGCGCACAATGGCAGAATAGAACTTTATAAAATAATGTTATTTTTGATCATCAACTCTTTAATATTATACTAACGTGATCGTTTTCAATTGGAGTAAACCAAACTTCAATAAAACCCACTCAAGATCGATTGGATATTAATGAGAGAAAAAATTAAACATTATTTTTCTATTTTCAGTGCTTTATAAAGGGTGTCCCTAAAAACATAGGAATTAAGTAAAGATTTCAAGATCGTCTTTGTGAATAATTTTTGATTTAGTATGGGGGGATGCGAACTAAAATAACTATTTATAACACTGTTATTTTGTTTCGCAGTGTTATAAAGTTTTTGGACAGAAATTTTCTCTTTATCGAGAAGGTTCAATCCTTTTTAGATTTAAAATATAATCTAAAAAGGCAAGAACCTTCGAGATATAGAGAAAATTTAAGTCCAAAAACTTTATATCACGTCGTGCCAAAAGAATAGTTTTATAGGTAAATTTATGGAAACGTTTGTGTACTTGTCTTATTTCAATGGCCATTTCTAGACCAAATAAGCTTTGAAACAAAGCAGAAGTCAAAATATAAAGTTGATCTTAATTTTATTTTTATTTCAATTGAAAAAAAAATATTTTGAAAATATCTTAATTCTTTTTGAGAAAATCCGTGAACCAATCAAAACTTTACAGAACACGTGCTAGAATGTACAGCTAATTTAACTATAACACGATGCTTACTTTATAGCACGTTCATTATGAAATTGACGATGAAGTGAGTAAGAATGATAAAGTAAACAATAGTTTCATAAAAGCTGTAATCCGTGGAAGGTTTCGTCTGCTGCAGCAGTGTATAGTAAAATCAGAAAATTTACGGAATATAAACATTAATAAATTTCAAATCTCTCCCCTTATTGTTGAGCTGGCAGAAATATCACGGACAATTTAACAATTTAGCAGAATAACAATAGCAGACCTAACTTTTTTATAATGCTAACTAATAATACATGTTTATTGTTCAAGGTTGTTGCAAGAGAAATAAAGAGAGAGTTACCCACAAAGAATGAGACTTAATTTTGGGTGGTTTTTAATATGACCTGAAGATGTGCTACTTGATTTGACAAAGAGTACAAACAAATTAAAGCTGACAGGGAACAATCAGTTAAGAAAGGAGCAGCAGTAAGATTCTGTTCAGTCATCTCTGAAGTCTCATCCTTTGTGTAAACAATGTAGTTTTTCAATTTATTTCCCAATCCCTGTATAGTGCGCACTACTATACTATCTCTACTATAATCTCAAGGGAGGGAGGGAGGGAGGGATATAAGATGCAACAAATTTTATCCAGATATATACACTTCCAAGATATACAGAGCTGAGAATTTTTAAATGAAGAAAATGAGTTTACCTTGTTTCTAATAAGCAAAACTCTACCCGAAGAGTTAAATTCCAAACCCTTCTATATCCGGTTTCTTATACTAAACTCGGAGAGAAAAACATTTCGGCATTACAAAACTTAAAGCCCTTGGGAATTTCAAATTCTAATATATTAAATATAATGATTCAAAAGTTTCAAACTCTAAAAAAAATCGTTTTGTTTGTTTTAATTTCACCTATTTATAGTAGAATCCATGGGAATATTTTGACCTTGGTTTATAACTTTTAGATTCAAAGGTCGATTGTCAATTGTCATAGACCATCTTCGATTTTAAGACGCATTTTTTAGATATCGGGTGTAGACGATCTTTAGATCGGAATAATTATCGATCTATACACAGTTTTGGTTTTTAAATTATACAATTATTTGTGTTGATAAATGCGCAAAAACTAAAATGATTCTAGAAAGATGAATAAAAATACCGCATGACTGCTGTCAAACATTTTATATTTAGAAAAAAAAAACCGATTTTTATATGCTTGTTTGTTCCCTGAGATTTAGCTTAGCTGAACGGTTTATCATTATTCCAATCCTAAAATATTAAATCTTATATTTCATTTGAGGGTTTGTACTTCTCACAGTAAACTTTACAGTGCTGATTGTTTTACCCTTTTTATTCCAGGGTCTACACTTTTCAAAATATTTACAAACATCCCGCATTTCAACTTTTACAAACTTTTAACAAGGGCACAGGATGAGGGGGGGGAGGGGGGTTAAGGCATTTACCAATACAATTAAAACGTATAGAACTGTTGTGTAGATAAAATAGGATTGCATTTGATATAATTTCACTTTTTATTAATGCAGATGAAACTATTATCAATCATACAGTTAAATAAAAAGTGAAGGATACTTTTTACCTGTACTTTACGATTTATCTAATGTATAATGTACTGTACCTAATGTAGGATACTGAAAACTGTATTTAATGTACTGTCCCCAATGTAAGATACTGAAATCAGTATGTACTGTACTTTACCTAATGGAGGATACTAAAAGCTGTATGTACTGTTCTGTACCTAATAGAGGATACTGAAAGCTGTATTTACTGTATTGTACCTAGGGTTGGTAATCGTTTTTGAAAACGATCGTTTAACGATCGTTTTTTGCTTCGTTAAACGATCATTTTTAAAAACGATCGTTTCGTTTTCTCAAAAAAACGATCGTTTTTAAAACAACCCACTCGTTTTGAACTGTTAGAAAACGAAGAACATTCGTTTTTGAAAACGATCATTTTCAGAAAAACGATAAGCGACCGTTTTTCATACGATTGTTTTTAAATAAACGATCGTTAAAAAATAACGATCGTTTTTGAAAAAAAAATTATCATTTATACGACGTCCTGAAGATAGTCATAAATGTCGTCTTTAATTAGATTTATCAAATGTCGTCTTACATGCCGTAGCAGTTTTAAAATGATCAGCGGAATTGAATTGAATTGAAGAAATTTGTTCTACTTTTGAGAGTGCAGAGCCGCCATGAGCCCCGCAAAATGGTCAATATGAACTTTAAAACCTAATTCTTTATTTGTTTTATATATGCTTGAAATTAGGCACCCAAGAAATTAAAGTACAAGATATTAAAAATATTAAGTTTTGATCATAATTGTTTAGTTAATGAAAGGTCATCCCTAGACTGATTTGATTAGTGATTGGATAAGGTAATGATTGATAATTACGTCACATAAAGATAATTAATTCTACAGATCGAAAGAAGGACTGTAGTCTCCAAATTTACGGTTATTATCAAGGATAGTCGTTAACGATCGTTAACAAAGGGTAGTCGTTAACGAAGGGTAGTCGTTAACGATCGTTAACGAAGGGTAGTCGTTAACGATCGTTAACAAAACAACGAACTTTATAAAAACGATCGTTTTGAAAAACGATCGTTTTTTTAAACGATCGTTTTTTATAACGATCGTTTAAAAAACGACAGTTTTTAAAAAACGAACTTTATAAAAAAACGATCGTTTTTAAAAACGATCGTTTCGTTTTTCGATTTTCCTCGACGTTTTCTTAACGAAACGATCGTTTTTTTCAAAAATCAAAACGTTACCAACCCTAATTGTACCTAATGGAAGATACTGAAAGAAGTATGTACTGTACTGTACCTAATGGAGGATACTGAAAGCTGTATGTACTGTTCTGTACCTAATGGAGGATACTGAAAGAAGTATGTACTGTGCTGTTCCTAAAGTAGGTTACAGATGGAAGTATGTATGTACTGTACCTAATGTAGGATACTGAAACTAATATGTACTGTACCTAATGGAAGATATTAAAAATTGTATTTACTGTACCGTATCTAATGTAGGATAATTTAATTAGTGTGTACTGTACTGTACCTAATGTAGGATACTGAAAGAAGTATGACTGGGACAAGAAAGAACACAAGAAAGGAGAGTTCATGTACAGGATACCACTACAAAAAATATTCTTTTTTACATAAGAAAATGTGTCTATAGAAATGTGGACTTTACACCTTATATTGCAATATAAAACAAAATATAATTTTAAAAAGCTCCTTTTTATTTGAAAATTGTCATTGTTAAAAAAATTACTTTCCTTTCTTTTATATCAAAGAAGAAATAGGAAATTCGATTTTAAATTTATGGTTTCGAATAAAGTGTAAACCTAAAATATAAACCTGGCTAAACCTGGCTAAACCTGGCTAAATCTAGATAAACCTGGCTAAACCTATATAGCCCTGGCTAAACCTGGCTAAACCTGGCTAAATCTAGTTAATCCTGGCTAAACCTGGCTAAACCTGGTTAAACCCGGCTAAACCAAGCTTGTACACTATTTGAAGTTCGACAATTTGATTTTATCAGTTGGAAATTAATTATTGCTAATGTAATATCAATAATTTTAATTATAGAACTGTAGAAAAGTTTCAATAAAGGGACTGTAAAGGAAAAATGAAAGGGGGTATAGGCTGAAAGCTAATCACTTTAGCTCTTGATTGCGACCCATGAAAATTTTATCTGATGTTCCTGTCTCGAGAAATTGATATAAAACTGTGTTAAAATTATACGAAAGTTCATATATGTAAAATTTATAAAATCTTAAACTTAAATCACGTGGAATTTCTGGTAAAGTAATAGGGACGTATAAATAATTTAATGAATTAAATCTATTAAAAATAGAAATAAAGATATAAAATTATAATTGGAGTAAACCTAATTTACAATTAGCTTTCTCTGGGATATCATCGTTTTCAGATTGGTTGCTTATTTGCTGAATTTGATCTGTTTAAACCCTCTACTTTTAAACAAAATTGTATATATATTAATTTTCGTATAAATTTTACACAGTTGTATATCAATTTCTCGAGATAGAAACATAAGATATAACTTTCATGGGTCGCGATCGAGAGCTAAAGTGATTAGCTTTCAGTCTATACCCCCTTTCATTTTTCCTTTACAGTCCCTTTAAATGAAATTAATCATGCTGCTTGGTATTGACGACCATGATAAACTTCTATATTATCCTCACCACTAATTATTTCTATCTAATGACTCAGTATACGGAAAAATTTATAAAGCCGTTATGACCCTATATTATTGTGGGATGTATAAATATGATGAATGTGCGTGGTTTGTTCTGTGGCTCAATGTTTAACATTTTTAGTATCTGCGGCTCAATGTTTAACAATTTTAGTATCTGCGGCTCAATATTTAACAATTTTAGTATCTGCGGCTCAATGTTTAACATTTTTAGTATCTGCGGCTCAATATTTAACAATTTTACTATCTGCGGCTCAATATTTAACAATTTTAGTATCTACAGCTCAATGTTTAACATTTTTAGTATCTGCGGCTCAATATTTAACAATTTTAGTATCTCCGGTTCGATGTTTAACATTTTTAGTATCTGCGGCTCAATGTATAGCATTTTTAGTATCTGCGGCTCAATGTTCAACATTTTTAGTATCTGCGGCTCAATGTTTATCATTTTTAGTATCTGCGGTTCAATGTTTAGCATTTTTAGTATCTGCAGCTCAATGTTTAGCATTTTTAGTATCTGCGGCTATATGTTTAGCATTTTTAATACCTGCTGTTCAAGTTTTTTGTAATTTATGCATCATACTTATCGTACCTGGGGCTCAATGTTTACATCCAACATAGCACAGAAAGCAGATTCTACAACCTTCAACAAACAAAAATATCAATTCAAATAGAATATAAATATGTTGTAAAATTTGGTTTAAATATGGTAATAAATTTAGAGATGGTGGCTATAACAAATTCAGCTTCATTGAACAGGAAGTTTAAAAATGACATGAAAACTTAACATAAACTCTAATTTTATAATCCCTAAATCTCCCCATGATGGTGGTGCAAACCTTTAAAGATTACGCGATCTAACAGAATTCATTATTTAAAATCGTTTACTACATCCAGTTGCAAAGATATAGGGATTAGAAAATTAGAATTTGTAGATAGTGTTAAGCTGGTGTTTCACTTAACAAGAAAATTTCTTTCAAAAGTAAGAGAACAACTGGTTGTAACTTTGCAGAATGATGGATAGAAGTTGTGCATTAAACAAACCTTAAAAACGTATTTTAATTATTCCATTTTTCATTTCGTTAGAAAAGCGTTCAGTCCAAATCATTTGGTTAGAAAAGCGGAAAGTCCGATTCATTTCAATGGAAAAGCTGTCAGTCCGATTCATTTCATTAAAAAAGCGGTCAGTCCGATTCATTTCGTTAGAAAATCGGTCAGTCCGATTCATTTCGTCACCCTTTAAAAACCTGTATCTCTAAACATTGTGCACAATTATAGCCGGGAAACCCTTGTTCGTAATTCGTGAAGTGTACAAACAGCTGATTTCACGAATTTGTCGTAAACCTAGAATATTCTATGGACTAACGCAGTTATAAAAAATAAATATTTATTTTACATGACTCCTAGGATACAAGCAATAATGTTTCATTTTTTTGCGTTTTAGCATAAGACATAACAAATGGAAGAGTATAGCTGCAGATATTTTTGTTGGAATTGCACAATTTTCAACCGATTTCAGTGTTCAGATTTTAGTAAAGAAATTGAATTTGATAGAAAAATATGATTTTGATGAAGTTTTGGTTTCCTGGTTTCCTGATCCCCAAGGATACTCTAGATAGTTCAACTGAAACAATAATATATATAGATCTGGTTATATAGCAGTACTGTACAGTGCTGCAACATGTTTAGGTGTTTAGAATTATTTGATACAGCGGTTGATAGAAAAGTTTATTCAGTGTCCTGCCCGGGCCTCGGCCCGCGATGTCAATGCTTACAAATCTTTAAGTTTAAAAGAATTGTCACAAATTCGGATTTCATAATTGCTATATCTTTGCAACCCAATGTCAAGATATTTCAAACTATGAAATTTGTTTGGTCAATTCATCTAATTTTGAAATATCAAAGGTTTACACCATCAGGTTTACGCTCAATTATTTATAAATTGTACTTCGAAAAAATTGCTCATTGGTATCAAATGAATTTTAAAGATTTTCTCTACAATACTGCATTTTCAGTTCCATTATGTTAATATAGCCGGTCTCTCCCTTATAAAGTTTAAACCACTTTATGTTCGTAGTAATGTTGGTTTAATTTTAAAACTTTTTACTAAACAATTTCTACAATCTGTTTTCTATATACATAAAGAGTTGTTATCCCTGTTTGTTTGTCCGATCATAACTCAGAAACCCCTGTATCTATTTGTCTCAAATTTAGATTTGGGAACTCGCGAGAGACCCACGGAAATATGTTCTCAGCTTAGTTTTGAGATTCTAAGATATAGAGTGGGTTAACTTTTAGCGGGAAAAATAGCTGAAATCGACAAGCGGCGGGTAAGCGGTGGTTCTGACTATGATTCCCCCGGGCAACGCTGGGTTCCCAAGCAAGTTATCAAATACAAATTTTTACCTTTGTAAAGAGAAGATGAGGTAGAGAGAAAACAGCTGAGATGAGTAAACATGAGATAAATACTAGCAGAACTCGAGATCTCTCTGTAAAGGGAAGAGAGGAGAGAGGGTGACAGATTGCCTAATTTAAACTTCTCTTTAATAATGTTAATTTCTTGCTCCCTCCATTCCTTTAGATCAAAACTATTTCACATTTACTATTTTGTGTTTCAGCAATACCCACAAATGATAAGGCTTTAATGACGACATGTAAGTCGTAAAATATGACGAACCGAAGGTTTCCTTAGTTTCCTTCATAAAACAAAATGGCATCTGCAGTACGAGGAAAGAAACCCTCGGACACTATGAGCCTCCGCCATGCAGACACGAGCCTCCCAGATTAGCTAGGCAGACACAAAGCCTCCACCATGCAGTAAGAGTCTCCATTATGCAGTAAACGAGCCTCCGCTATACAGCACAGCTTCCTTTTAACGCTTGGTTTTTACATGTAATAAAGATTTTTTTTCATTTTTTTTTTCAGACATATTGGCTCAAGAATTCTACTTAAGATTAATTTTGTTTATTGATTGTCATGATTTGAAACTTATATCAACTCATTAAGTGGTCTATAAGATTTATGTTTACAATAAAACATTTCTTTCGGAGTAAGGAGGCTATTTGGAAATTCATTTCTGAATTGAACTTAGTTTATTTTGTTTTAATCGTTGATTTAAGCAAAACTTTTTTTGGGGAAATTATTTTAAGATCCAGATTATTTGTCATTGTCAAATTTTAATTATCTTTATCTGATAAAAATTCCAAACAAAGGTACATGCCTATGGTATATGCTTAAATTAAAGATTATAAAAGAACAGATAAAATCATTTTCAGAATATTTTTCTAAATGTTTTTTTTGCCTAAAAAAAGCTTTTAAAAAATTTATAAACCACCTTACTAATCCTAATTAGTCACTTTTTATAATAAACGCTTAATACTTCTGATCTCAGATAAACTTTTTATGCCACTATTTATTTAGAAAAAAAATACAAAAAATTCTTTATTACATGTCAAACCCAAAAGTTTTAAGTACACTATTCTGTATAGCGGAGGCTCGTTTACTGTGTCGCGGAGGCTCCTCCTGCATAGCAAAAGCTCGGTACTTGTGTACTTGATGCAAAGGTTATTTCTAGATATAATAATCTTCTTCACAAAGCAGATTTAAACCAAAAGTTAATGTCCATTTTATTTTCAATCAAATTAAAAAAAATTGAATAAAATATTTTAATTTATTTGGAGAAAACCTGGGAAACATTGCAAAACTTTATAACACTGTGCAGCGTGCTATAATATACAGATAATTTAACAATAGCGCACGATGATTACTTTATAACATGTCTATAATAAAGAAATTGAGTCTTTGTAACAAAATCAAATATTTAAGCCTCAATATCTTTAGAACCCGATGTTGTAAACCTTTGATATTTCAAACTCTGATTATTTGATTTAACAGAATTCATAGTTTGAAATATCTAAGGTCTACAACATTTGGTTCCAAAGATATAGTGATTAGAAAATCAAAGTTTGTGACAAAGACTCAATTCCTTTACCAAGAAGTGCAAGAGTAATAAAATACGCAATAGTTTAATATAAGGTTTAAAAAATTCCGCGCAGTCGCCATCCTTTAAGGTAACTCAGTAAGATCACTGAATTATTTCAATTTAATTTGGTTAATTTGGCATGCAGTCCCAAGTACCAGGGGAATTTTAAAGTCTTTATATAGATAAATGCACATGGCATATATATATATATTTTGATCCAAACGATTAAATGTCTAAAAGTTTATCTTTTTATTTTAACCAAGATTCCTTAAAGTAGTTGACCTGTGTCAAAAACTATCAACAATTTTGTTATTCTTCTTTGTTGGGAAATAAATATTAATGTTTATCAAGTTTTTAGTGATTGTTTTGAATGAATCCGATAAAGCCAGGATAAACGTACTTAGCTTTGGATAGTTATTTATAACGTTTAAATTAAAGAGAGATGGACCTGATAGCGCTCAAGGGAAAAGCTCAGAATAGTCAAAACATTGACATAAGAGAACCTAGAAATAGAAAATTAGTGTTTAACAGATCATATTTAACAAATACGCAACCAATCTGAAAACAAAGATATCCCAGAGGAGCCTGAGAAACTCAAGTTTGCTCCTATTATTATTTGAATTTAATAATTTTTTATTTTTAATAGATATAATTGATAATATTATTTATGCGTCCGGAATATGTCACCAGAACTTCAACCAATGGCAGTGCAATATTATGGTCACGTGATACGGATGTATATCCTACATGTATACGTTTTGGTATAATTTGACACAGTTGTGTGTCCATTTCTCGAGACAGGAACATCAGATAGATGTCTTATAGGTATCGTTCAACTTCTGAGATTCTCAGGTTTCAGCCTATACCCCCTTTTCATTTTTCCTTTACAGCCCCTTTAATGTTAGATTTTAAGCAGTAAGTATTATGGGACTATAGGCGAAATTTTTCAGTGACCCTCAATTTTATTTTGAGGGGGAGGCATGTCTGATCAACAATGGTACCCTTTAAACCTTTGTCCGAGTAAAATTCTATAAGGGACTGAAAAGGATTTAGACAACAGAATGAAATTGTCGGGAAAACTTTCAAGTGAATTAAAAACCGAACAAAGGTACCGTTCTAACTGTTCCTCAGATAAAAGTGTGAATCGTTTAAGGACATCTTTAACTGAGGAACCACTTAAAGATAGGTTTAAAGTCCCTTATAGTCAGTTTTTAATTCACTTGAAAGTTTTCCCGACTATTTGTAAATATATTTTACTACTAAAACACAGAAAGTAAATATCTAATAATATACGTTGCTTGTTTGTCTGTTTGTATTTTGGCAATTGCGCAATAATAGCGCAAAACTTGATCTGTAGCTGGCTAACTTAACAAACAACGTCAAAACGACTAAGCGGGCCCAAATTTTTTAACAATCTATTTTATGTAGAGCAACAGTAAAAAGTTAAAAATGCAGATATATTATAAAGCTGTAAAAATACATAAAATGCGCGTCAGAATAAATATCTATTTTTTTAACTAATAATAAAAGTCTTAAATTAAAAAAAGAAAAAATCCTACATTTCTGATGCGAAGCTTCGAAGTTTACAGAATGCTTGTCCGAAGGGGAAAGGGTATTGATTCCAGTAGATTGTTAATTCATGGGGTACTCCTAAACATATTAGAGGGAGTAGAGGACTCCCAAACATATTAAAGCAAGTAGAGGACTCCTAAACATATTAGAGGGAGTCGAGTATACCTAAACATATTTGAGGGAGTAGAGTACTCCTAAACAGTGAAGGGAGTAGATTATTCCTAAACATTGGAGGGAGTATAGTACTCCTTAATATATTAGAGGGAGTTGAGTACTCCTAAGCATTAGAGGGAGTAGAGTACTCCCAAACATTAAAGGGAGTAGGATACTCCTAAGTATTAGAGGGAGTAGGATACTCCTAAGTATTAGAGGGAGTAGAGTACTCCCTAACATTAGAGGGAGTAGTATACTCCTATGTATTAGAGGGAGTAGGGTACTTCTTAACATTAGAGGAAGTAGGGTATTCCTAAGCATTAGAGGAAGTATAGAACTCCTAATCCTCGAAAGGAGTATATATATTATGCTAGCTTGGAAACCCGGCTTGGCCTGGAAACCGAGTTTTCCCAAAAAAAGACAACGCGCTCAACTGAAATTGTTAACTCAGCTAAAAACATTTCTGTGAACCTGTCTTAGTTTCAAGGTAAATCTGGTTCTCCAAGCTAGTATAAATATAAAATTGTCTTACCAAGAATAATTATGAATAGATCTGAGATTGCCAAGCAAAGAAGATAATAGTTCATTGCTGTGTGTAAGGATAGATTTCTACCAACCACTATACAAACCTAAATATTTTTTTATTTATCGACTTTTCACATTTTTTTCATTAGATTGCATATAAACATCATGTTTCTTTCTCTTCAAAATTAATTCTCTCTAAATTAAAAAGTCTATATAGGTTAATATATGTTATCAATATCCACACTAACTTCTACAAATTAATAAATGTTCTCAATATCCACACTAGCTTCTACAAATTAATATATGTTCCCAATATCCACACTAACTTCTACAGATTAATATATGTTCTCAATATCCACACTAACTTCTACAGATTAATATATGCTCCCAATATCCACACTAACTTCTACAGATTAATATATGTTCTCAATATCCACACTAACTTCTACAGATAAATAAATGTTCCCAATAACCACACTAACTTCTACAGATTATTATATGTTCTCAATATCCATACTAACTTCTACAGATTAATAAATGTCCTCAATATCCACACTAACTTATACAGGTGAATAAATGTGCTCAATATCCACACTAACTTCTACAGATTAATAAATGTGCTCAATATCCACACTAACTTTTACAGGTGAATAAATGTGCTCAATATCCACACTAACTTCTACAAATTAATAAATGTGCTCAATATCCACACTAACTTCTACAGATTAAGATATGTTCCCAATATCCACACTAACTTTTGCAGATTAATATATGTTTCCAATATCAACACTAACTTCTACAGATTAATACATGTTCCCAATACCAACACTAACTTCTACAGATTAATATATTTTCCCAATATCCACACTAACTTCTATAGATTAATATATGTTCTCAATATCCACACTAACTTCTACAGATAAATATATGTTCTCAATATCCATACTAACTTCTACCGATAAATAAATATTCTCAATATCCACACTAACTTCTACAAATTAATAAATGTGCTCAATATCCACACTAACTTTTACAGATAAATATATGTTCTCAATATCCACACTAACTTCTACAAATTAAGATATGTTCCCAATATCCACACTAACTTTAACAGATTAAGATAATTGTTATCGATGAATTTACTGTTTAACAATTACTGTCAAATTAAAATTTGTCTAAATTAAACAATTTTTAAGTTTTTTTTCTTAAGTATTGTAATTTCTAACATTTATATTACTTAGATAATCTTCATATTTTCTCTTGAAAAATCCATTTGACATTTCTGCATTCAAGAAATGCAGAAATTAATATTCGCAATCTTAAATTTGCAGGTTCTGTCCTAAGCAATATATTTATTTGCAATCTTTGTTACAAAAGTTCTAAATTATAAGTTGATATCTTAAATTGAAAGTTTGAATTTCTAAATACTTTTGTTGCATGATTGAAAAATATGTTATTAACTAATGAATAGTTAATAAGGGTAATTAAAACAGTTGGCTCTAATTTGGCGGAAAAGATATTATCATCAAATATTTTTTCTAGTTTCAAAAATATATAAATGATATAAATTTAGCTAATGTTTCTGTCTATTTTTTCAGGTTACCTTAACATTCCCAAAAACACAAATTTAAAATGTAAAGCCAATTTCGAAAAAATTTATTTCAGATAGATGGAGAATCTGAAAAAATGGATAAATTCTGATTTTTTTCAGACATTTGCAATTTCAACCGATAAGTGGGTAGGGGGTGGGGGGGGGTGGAGTGCATGGCAAATATTTGTAA